CCGGGGCGGCGGGGGGCCTCCCACAGAGGGGCAGAGCCGGGCAGAGGACTGGGCAAGCTGCTGCCAGCACTGGCGGTGGGGAGCCGGAGCCAGGCTTTTCGCTGGTAGCTTTCCAGCGTTTCAAAGAGACAGAGCTGACAAAAGGAGTTTGAAAAAGGCCTCCCAGGAGTCAAATACAAAAGGGCTATGGGAAGCTGTAAGTGGGAAGAGAAAGTGTGGGACACTGGCTGGGGTGGGGGGTGTTTGTGTGTGGGGTGCAGGGAGGTGTAGCTGCAGCCAAGCAGGGCAGAAATAAAAAGCTGAAGCAGACACTATGTGCTTTCCTAATCCTGTCTGGAGACCCTCTGACTTCCAGAAAAGCATTCTCCAGTCTGAGGGGCTCTGCAGGCAGTGGAGCAGCTCACATTTTTCCACTCATCTGTAACATCCTGTGTTTTCTGCTTTAAATAAAAGCAGTGATGTTTGCAGGAACTCTGTACAAAGCCTGTCTGCTTGCAGCCGCTCGGAGCTGCTTTGTGCCTCCTGAACACCAGGAGAGGAAGGTTCATGCCCTGGCAGGACAAGAAGTTCCCTGCATTGGCCCCATAATCTTTCCGGCGCAAGGGGAGGGAAGGGCAGCCTGTGTGCTGGGGCATATCTTAGCCGTGCTTTTTCTTGCCCAGCGAATACAGTCTGGGTATGTCTGTGGGGCTCCTCGCTGAGAGCTCCCACCTCCTCAGGACAGCGTGTTCAGAGGGAGGAATGGAACTTGCAGCACCTTTGGGCAGTGGAAGCCCTCTGGCACGGCTCCTGGAGAGGTGGGTGGAAGTCTGCCTGACCTGAGGGAGGCAATCTACAGCCTCAGGAAGGAAAGTGTATGTTTATTGCAAAGCTGAGAGTCAGCTGTATGCGGGAGTGTCCCTTTTCCTTTTGTGATGCCAGTTCGGGTGCTTATTCCACAAATCAACAAATGTTTCTTTTTTTTTTTTTTTATCAGCACTTAGGAGTGAGTTGGGCAGCTGAGGAACTGCACAGCCCTGGCAAACTGCTGGTTTGTGGAATCCTGTGCTCCTGTATGCCGGGGGCTGTGGGTGCATCAGGGCTGTGCAGTGTCACGTGAGGTCAGTAGTGATCCCCCTGCTCCCCTCTCTGCACTTCCCGTCAGCAGAGGAGAGCCTGATCTCTGCCACCCTGCTGGGGCACTGGGTGGGTATGCACCCCGAGTCCCCTTCTCCAGCAGAAAGAGAGGGGGAAGGGGACAGCTGCTCAGCCTTTTTGCCAAGAGTCCCTGACATGGAGCAAGAGCCTCAAGCTATGAAGGACAGGCACTTCCTTGGAGGAGGAAGCACAGGGCACAGCCGTGCTAGTGTGGCCAGGGGTGGTTTTGGGACTACACCCTCTCTGCTGTGACCCTGTGGGTGTCTGTGTGCACAGGAGCCCTCTGCAATGGCACATCTGCACTGGTCTGCTGACCCTGGCTGCCCAGGGCCTGGGGTGAGAGGGGATAGAATG